TTAATATTATCAAGAAATAGCAGCTCTTAATGAGGTGGTTCTCGGCATACAGTGATAGAATTTTATATTGAATATTCATTCTCTGTTGATCAGGTTTTAATTATCATCGCTTTTAATTATGACCTTTGCTAAATAGAGCATGAAGCTATATCTGCAGTTAAGAATCCTTGTAAAAAATCTCTATGAAAAACTAGTTTTAGACTTGAGCTCTTTCTTCAATTTGTTGGCCATATAAAATCTTATTTGCACTGGTTGTTCATAACTAGGCATTTTTATTTTGACTTTCCAAAATCTGAACAAATGACATATATATATATATATATATATATATATATATATATATATATATATATATATATATATATATATATTTTCTTGGTTGGGCCAAGAACTTTTTCAGTACTTCCTCATACCAATTACAGCAGTCTGCTTTTATTGTAACAGTTATATTGTTTTGTTTTTTTTTTCTTAATAATTATAATCTGATATTAACTCAAAACCAAATTAATGTATATATCTACTTTTACCCACTTCTTTTCATGGTGAAATCAATTGGCAGATGAAAGTATTCATTTAACGAGGCTTTTTTTTTTTTTTTTTCATAGGGCACCCAATCAATATTGAACTTATCGTGGGTTGTGAGAGTAACTTATTAATCTCTGAAACTGTCTAGATTGTTATTTAGCAAATACTTATTTTAATGGAATTGTGATATTTACAAAGCTTAGTCTGAGACCAGACTGGGTCAAGAGAGAGAGACCTACTTTCTTGTTCTGTATTATGTATTTTCTGCTGATTCCTGTGGAAAATATAGAATATGTTACCAAAGAACTCCAGAATTTTTTTTTCTCTTCTGGTTTTCATAATCTGATTTTGGGCTGAATTTCCCTTGTTTGTATTTTACATAAGTCTCCATTTTTAAAATAAAGTTTCAATTTTGTTCCATGAACATCTTCAGATGTTTTTATGGAAATAAATAATTAAATCTTAAAATGGTTAAGAATCCATTTTACTTAATTATTCCAGGTCATCTATTATAAGTCTGCTTGTTCCTCTTTTTAGTAAGTTAGCATGTGAGATATGTTTTGTCATTACCTAAGATAAATAATGGACCATTTTCTTTTTGATTGCAAGGAAAGATGGAAGAAAAAGAGAAACCAGAGATACAGTTTTAGTGAGTAAAAGAAAGCGTATATAAGAGGGAAGCTAGAGGTAGTGATGATGCTCTCATGTGTTTTAACATTTGCTTCATTAAAATAGAAAACTGTCAATTTTGAATCTTTTCATTTGTACCCTCTTACTACTTTAAATAGTCACCTGCATTAATACTTATGATTATTATGGCAATATTTGGTATTGAGCTGAAATATTTAATGATGCAAAAGGGGAATTTCCATAGATATAGTTGCATTGAACTTAGTCAATCATTATGAATTATGATTCATAGGAAAAACATGAAATTTTCACAAGTACTGTTAGTGTGTACACACACACACACACACACACACAACTGAAAGCAGCATGTAAATAAAGTCCAATCATGACACCGTTTAATAAAGGTATACCAGGCACATGCATCACAGCCATATGTGCACAATATGGTGGCATGTTTGGATAAAGGCAGCATCTATCCATGTAGATGGACCCAGTTAGAATTACCTTTTGAGTCAAGTAATCCAGTGTCTTCAAATATTTACTGATTGACAGTAGTTCTAAGTATAAAGATGTAAATTCTAATCTGCTTTGGCCACCTCATCCTTCAAACTTAAAACCAACCATGAAGCTTTCTCACTAATTCCTGTCCATGAACGGTGCTGCACAATGTGTTAGCTCCTGAGGGATGTGTCCAGCTTTATTATTTATTTATTCAGTATGAGTCAATATTTGGCATGGAATGTTGAATTTGTATGCCATATTCAAATTCTGATGGTCCATTTCATTCACCTCACTCTAATAAATTTTTCTTCCCCTGCCCCCTGGTCTGTGTTAATTTAATAGCAGAGCAGACAGGCTCTTTCGACTTAGTAGTGCAACCAGTATAGGAGAAAGAAAAACTTTGAATTCAAAATTAGCCTGAAGAGGAATGGGCTCCATCAAGCTTTAGATTTATCCATTGTTTCCACCATTGCTTTTTTTTTTTTTTTTTCCAATAACTGATTATAATCATCCAAAGAGTCTTTAGTTTTTGCCTTCAGTGTCTGGACAGATACAAGTGCCAAATGCCTGTGATATTATGAATATTACATTTCTCATTAAAATAAAACATCATAACTGGTTACTATTGCCTGGTTGTAGGTCAGTCAAACTTGGTGTTGATCCATTTAACAATTGGTCATTCAGTGAGATATGAAACTTGTTAATTTTAATGCCTCAAGCTAAACTCCTCTCTTTTAATCATCTTAGAGAAACTCCCCCTCCCCATGGCTGATGCTAACCTCCAGGAGAGTAACTTATGCTTTCTTGGTTCATAACATTTTCCACTGATATGAATTATGATTACATGACTCAATTGTTAAGTCTGCAGCTTGTTTCACTGTATCATGCTAGATGTTTTTGTTACCAGCATCTATCTTGTACCTTTATAAGTTTGCCAATTGTTTGTGCATTGAATATTGTTATTACATCTACTCTGGTGCTTTTACTATGTATCTAGAAATTCTTGATCAAATCCAATGTTATTGGTCCTGACCTGGCATCTCTGCTTCAATCACTTTGCCACTACTATAACATAACTACACTGTACCTTTTTCTATAAATATTTTCAGGGCAATTGTTCTGATAAACTACATCTCATTGTTTTACTGTTGAAATAGCTAGATGTAACTGTAAGTTCTATTCTCATGATTTCTTTTTTCTCCCCACTTATCATTTGTGGGACTTTCTTCCAGCTTCTTGCTTTCCTCTCAATGATCTTCAAAAATTTAAATGCAATGTCAGTTGTTATCTATGTTTTTGATTTCTGATCTTTCATTGTCCCTTCTCAATGTTTTCTGTTTCTTTCACTCTCAGTAAGCCCTTGCTTCTTAGTAGCTTTATCACCTTTCTTTGGATGAAATGATTACATTTTTGTGTGTGTGTGTGTGTAATATATATTTGACTTAAAGATTGTGTTCAAGCATCAAACACTTGTTGCTTGGTGGTGACCTCAGTGTCCACTTTTATGTTTACATATGCTCAATCTGTTATTGAATACTTTTATCTATAAATATAGCATACCATAAAACTATTTTTATCATGTGTGCACACACACACACACACATAGTTGAATGGATATCTAAATATCTTAGCTCTATCACTGATATTGAGTGCTTTCCAATAAGCACCACACACACACACATATATATATATATATATATATATATATATATATATATATGTGTGAGAGAGAGAGAGATAGTATTGGGGGGAAAATAGGTTGAAGGTTTTAATTGTCTTAAACCTAGAAACTTTTTTTTTTTTTTTTTTTTTTTTTTTGCATAGGTTTGTTGGTGATGAGTAAAACCAAATCAATTGGCTGTTTTTATGCTTGCTGGACTTACTGTTAGGATGAAAATTTCTTTGTTTTTGTGTGGAGTATTTTATTTACTAATTTATACCACTCCATATGTGAAATTGATATTTTGTCAAGTCCTTACTATTAAGTTTTTTTATGGGTGAGTCTTTAAATATATTTTTCTAGTCTTGTAGTTGGAGATGGTGATCATTTTATTACTTTATGACAATAGAAAATTAATCGCTGATTTAAGATTCAGTAGAATCTATATTACAATTTACCTTTACTGTTAAAAAAAAAAATGTGAAAATGATATTTTAAATACTTTCATGATTGCTGTTACTGGTTTGACTATGAAGCTTTTACTGGCAGGCTTCACTCAAATGAACCAGGAAGCTCTATCTATACATTGCCTTTGATTGCTACAACGCTATTATCTCATTTGTTTATAACTAATTATAGTATTAGGAGACACATTTCTTAGATGAAGCATTGTCATTAACTTTTTATCTTTTATTTCTATGATCTTATTTCTTTTTGTTCTTTATTGCAACTCTTGAATTTGTTTCATCATTCTACTGTGGAAATTGCTAAGTGTAAGTTGTATTCTAATAGTTTATTCTCTTCTTCTTTCCTGTGGAATTTGTTTCTGGTTTCTTGTTTTTCTGCCAACTGTCCTTCAAAAATTTAAATTCAACATCAATTGTTATCTTTTTGTCTCCTTGAATCTGCTGCTCTTATATTCCTTTTTCTCTCTTCAATAACTTCTTTCACTCTCACTAATCACTTGTCTTAGTGGCTTTATTACCTTGCTTGGGGTTAAAGGTTTAAATTTAAGAACAAAAAAAAAAAAAAAAAGAAGCAATATTGACTGGAAATAAACTTGCAGGATTTGAACTTATCCTTAGGAGCCTGTCTTTGCATGACTGGTAGAGCCATATTCTTTTATTTCTCTAATCTTACCATTTCAATACCAAAGATAATACTGGGAAAAGAGTGGGTGATCAAAGGATAATTTATCTGCACACCCACTCAAATGGAATGTGAAACAAGGTTAAGTTTAATGTGCGATGGGCCTCGTGCATAGGAATATGTAGATGATGGACAACAAATGTTCTTGGCACTTCTTTTGAAGATGCCTCAGGTGCCATGTAATGACCCTAGTCTCTTGAAAGGGTGGTATTGCCTGGTGGGAGATGGTTCCCTGGATTTAGTGGCAATCAAATAAGTGAGTGAATATGTATGGAAACTATTTTTTATTATTTATTTTTTTGCTTAAATTACATTGTAGTGGCATCAAAATGATTATTATTTCTATGTATGTTAGAGCCTTGTTATCTCTTTGCCACTTATTCTACTTCTATAATTCTCAAGGAATTCTCCCCCACCCCTTCAAATAAACTTTAGATGTCTGCAAAACTTTTAATGCTATCCAGCTTTAAGGAGATAAATTAATATTGCACATTTTTAATTGATTCTCATTTCTAAACTTTTTATCTCTTTACAGAACATTTAGAAAAAAACAAAAGCAGGGCCTTACAGACTGCAGCTGCAGCAGTAATGTCCAAAGAAAATGACCAAGTTAAAAACTCTTCCCCATCCTCTTCATCACACAAGATTCCTGATGGTAAGTTAATATGAAATTGAAAGCTTATGCATTTGTTCTTGTTATTCTCTTTGCAAGTTTTTATTAATGCCAAATTGACTGGTGTGTCATTTGAAAGTAATTGAAAAGCCATATACTCATAAACTGTACCACCTTTGTCTGGAATCTAATAGTTGGTATGTAGGTGGGAGATACAGTTCTTTGTGCCGCCTATTAGGCACCATTGTTTTTATTTTTTTATAATTTTATTTTTTAACATGTATATCTTGTACTCCTATCCAAACCTTAAATATTACTGTAGTATTAGATATTTAAAAACAAAAATAAAAATTCCTCTTTAACACCAATCAGTTAATTCTTGGTAATTTAGAGGCTTTGACATTCTTCAGGATTTGTTCATTATTTTACACATTTCACATCATGTGTCAGGTTTTCGCTGGAAAAGTTACAGAAAAGTCTCTTTGAATATCCAGTGCATTTCTCAGTTTTTTTTTTTTTTTTTTTTTTTTTGCAGATGTTACCCTGATACTATCCTGCTGTGTTTTGGGCAGTCTCTGTCTTTTCTTGAACCACCAAACTAGTGTCTTTTTTTTTTTTTTTGCAGGGAGGGGATGGTTTCAAGCATATCAATTATAGGTATTGTGTCCTTTAGAAAAGTCTTAGAATTTTTCTTTTATTTAAATTATTTCTTTCTCTTCTCCCATGATCTGTTGACAATCATAGGATCTGACAAATTCCAATCTTCTTGCTTGGTTTTGCTTTGAAGTTTGAAGATCATGATCTCAGTAAATTTATATAAATATAGAAAAATTGAAGCTACATATTTATCAAATATTTAATATGAAATGTTGGAAATTTTTGTCTCTGTAAAAAAAAAAAAAAAAAAAAAAAAATTACATCTTTTTAAATTTTTTTTTTTTTTTTTAATTTTTGATTTTAATGTTAAAATGTTTTTTTTTATACAAAAAAAATCTGAGAATTCTTAACCAATATAACATCCACATTTTAAAAATATACTGGCATTAAATAACCTAGAAAAGGTTGATATATCGTAAAACAAATCCATCAATCAAGATCTTGCAGTACTTATTTACTTGGACAGCAACTACTTTGCAATGTCATCAGGTCTAAATTTGTACTTTGCGTATTTATTCTTTCTTTAACTCAGCTTGGTCACATTCAATCCTGGTTCAAAGCTGATCATGGACAATTAATATTGACTTGGGGAAGATGATCGCTGTGTGCAATATTTTTGGGAAGTACCTGAAAATGGTACCACTAGTTGATTTGGGCTTTATGAATAAATTGGCTAGACAAAACTGTTCAGAAGTCATTGATGGTTGTGCTAGTATGTAGTCCTCAATTAATGAGCAGAGACACTGCCAACCAAGGCTAAAGAGGTGCTTATTTAGAGATGGTGTTTTTTTTATGAAAACACCCATCTTATAGCAGCTTGGTCATTGATAGGAAAGTATTGGTCTGAAAAACACACCATAACTTGTGTTTGCATTTTTTTTTTTTTTTTTTTTTTTTTTAAAGGAGCTTACTCCCTTAATTATTGCAGCATATAGTGATCCAAAACAGTTCCCCATCTAAACAATGACCAAGCTTGATGCTGCTTAACTCCAGCAATTGCACTGGTGCTTTGTGTGATTTGACTGTGAAGTTTAGTTTAGTATAACAAAAAGGAGTCAACAATAAGGATAAGAGTAGAATGGTAAACTAGTATGCTTAACCATTGTTCCATGGTGAGGTTCAATCTTGGTAAGCTTGGCTTTGTCTAGCACGGGGCGTTAGGGGACACAAAAGCAGGTAACTTCATGAACATTGACCTTGTAAATGGTTGCGTGAAACTCCTTTGTTGACCATCTTCTTTACCAGTCACTCAAGAATTTTACCATAATCTATATTTGTTCTGTACAGATATATTTCTCATGTTTTTTCTTATCTTTTAATTAAAGCTTTATAAAATCAATAATTAATGAAATAATAATATCTGGTTGGAAAGAAAGTTTTTAGAATATTAAGAAACTAAAAACTTTCCAACTAGGTATACAAGGGGTGAATCAAAAAGTAATGTAATTTGTTTCCTTATATAAGAAATAAGGAACATGGTCAAACATCTTGCATCAAGATATAGCTATGCATCATCGGTTCACATCCCTGCTTCTCAACCTAGCAAGGATGTGTCCCAAATTCATGAAACTCTGGCAGATGATGTGGTCAATTCTTTACAGCATTTTTCACTTCATCACCACCATAACGTTTGACCTGCAGTGTCTCTCTCTTTGAGCCAAAGAGATGGAAGTCTGAGGGTGCTCAATCAGGTGGTGATGAAGTGAAAGCTCTAAAGGAACTGGCTGCATCATTTGTAGGTTGACCACTGCCATTAAAATAGGTGTTGACTGTGATGTATAGCTATATCTTGATGGGTACCCACACCTGATTTTCCCCCTAGAACTGAGGCTACACTGAGTAAGATGTGTATAACCCCGTCAGTGGTATTAGACATCATCTCTAAATTAGATTCTCATGAAGCAAGTGCTAGTGACTGGATACCAGCCGTAGTCCTAAAGAAACGTGCCCCTGAGCTGGCTTCAGTTCTCCCCAAACTCTACAACTATTGCTTGCCTCACCGATTCTTGCTTTTTCAGCCTGTTGGAAGTCCTCCTCTGTTGTCCTGGTTTTTAAGAACTCTGGAGACTTTTCTGACCCATCTAACTACCATCCCATCAGTCTCCTACTACTCTTTGGCAAAGTCTCCAAGGCTTTAATCAATGTCAAAATAGTAAAGCATCTCACCTCCTTCAATCTGCTCTCTGACAAACATGGTTTCTGCTTTTCCTGGTCTACTGCTGAAGTGCTTATGGCCATAACTGAATATGTATACCAAGCTCTTGATAATAATGGCAAAGCTTGAGCTGTTGTTCTAGATATATTGAAGGCATTTGACAGGGTTTAGCATGCTGGCCTTCTATGTAAGTGATATGGTATTACAGGAGAATTTTGATTTAATACAATCATTCCTGTCTAACCATGAAATGAAGGTTGTCCTGAATGGGTTCTCTGCCAGTTCTTCCATACAAACGCTGGTACTCCTCAAAGTGCTATCCTTGATCCTACACTGTTTCTGATCTTCATCAATGATCTTCCTGGCGTCATCAATTCTCAGGTCTGCATCTACGCAGACGACCATACCATTTACTCCTGTCTCAATAGTAAATCCAGCATTGCTGACAGTTAACCTGGGTTGTTGGTCTTGAAAATGACCTCCAATCTGTACTTTACTGGGACAGGAAATGGCTTGTGAATTTTAATGCATCCAAAATGAAACTGCTTTTATTTACTCACCATAGAGAAACTTCCCTGCCTCCTATCTGCATAGTTGATGCTCAACTCCACAAGAGCGTCTCACTGTGTCTTCTTGGTATCACATTTGCCCCTGACCTGAGGTAGAGCATCAATTGCTGCATCTATTGCAAGGAAAGTTGGTTCTATATGTCATGCCAGAAGGTTTTTCTTGTCCGAGTTAATACTTCACATCTACAAATCTACCTTTCATCCATGCATCATGGAATATTGTCTTTCCTGCTGTCTTTCCTATAAATATTTTCATGGCATCTGCTCTGACAACCTATTTTCATTGCCACCCCGACTTCATGAATTTAAGTATGCTACTAGGTTGGCATCTCGGTCCCGACCTTTTACTGTCAAAACAGTTAAATGTAACCACTTCTACTCCAAGAGATTCTTCTCTCACATTTCCCGACAGTGGAACCCCTTCCCTATTACTGATAACTATAATCTTCAAAAATTTAAATGTAATGTCAATTGGCATCTTCTGTTGCCTTGATCCCCGTTCTTCTTTTTATCCTTTTCTCAACCCCCTCTCTCAGACCCAGTTTTTCCCCTTACTTACACTCTCTGTAGCCTCTTGCATACTAGTGGCACTCCCACCTTGTTTGGGGTGAATTGCTGAAAAAAAAACCTAAAAAAACAATGTCTGATATGTTTGTGTTCCTTATTTCTTAAAGTAAATTGCACTACTTTTTGACTCGCTCTTATATATATACTATATTAATAATATAAAAACAAAAATTTGAATATTTAGGTTTTCGGTTATTGTGATGATTAGCAGAAGTTAGTATAAATAAAATTTTTAAATCTGTAAATTAAGTTAGCATATATAATATGCATTTATAAAATATATATTCTGTAATAATGCAATATACTTACCTGGACTCTGACGAGCAAAACATCACCAAATTTTAAGTCTATCTTGATAAGTATTTTATATTTTTTTAATTTTAGATATGTTAAGCTCTTTATTGACAAAATTCTGCTATTATTGCTGTATGTTAAATTGCATCATTTTACAAATATCACAAGGTGTTCATCATTATTATATCAATAATTGTAAATATCGACTCCTTGGTCCATATTTTTTTTCTTTTAGTCTGGTCCACCTTTTTTTCTTTTTTGTTGCAGCACCACTGGAAAATCCCCAGCTCCAAGATCGTCGGGGGGTAGCAGTATCACAGTGTCATCTGTCAAGTGGATCTGGAGTCCCTAAAGCAGTAGCCCCCACTCCATCAGAAGGTAGCTTCACTAGTAACCCAGTTATAGAGAGTTCATGTGATGATAGGCTGGATGGAAGTCGTACTGCTGTAATTCGAACTGTTGACCACCCAATCACCAGTACCTCAGCTGCAACCACAGGTACAGGCGGCACGACAGGTGCCAGCGGGACCAGCCTAATATTACCAGACCATCCTCTTGGGCCACAAAAGCACAGTAAAACTATCACCACTTCAAAATGCGGCAGTCCCTTGACAGAGTCTCCCATGGCTAATAGCACCATTTGTAGCACCAGTACAATGCTAGTGACCACAACCAGTGACAGTGGTCACTCGCCACTCAGGGACAAGAGCACTTCTGGCAATGAAGTGATGACAATAAAAGAAAGTTCCGCTCCAATGTCTGCCACAACTGCGTCATCAAGCAGGGAAGAAAGTACGCAATGCACATCTGGTAGTTTCTCTAATCAACAAACACAGATCTCCTCTTCCTCCTCCTCCTACCAGCAGCAACCATCGACGGTGGAAGGGGCCAAGGCAGAGGAACAGAAAGGGGTGAAGAGGTAATTTAACACAGTACCATCATATCTCTCTCCATTTCTCTCTCCCAGACATGGGAGATGGTATAACGGTTGTGGGCACTGAAAAGGACATCTCTGAACAACTCAGCTTTCTAAAGAGGTCATTTGTATTCAGTTCTCAGTTTTGAAGAGGCATGAACCTGCTTTTTCTTCCACTCACTTCTATCATGAGATATTCTTCATAACATCTCATCACTGGCTTGTCACAGTAATTAACTACATCACTTGTGCTGTTAATCTTAAGATTCTTATTGTCTGTTCAAACAAATGTTTTTAATGAATTTGCTGATAGGTAATTTTAAAACAAAGGATGAAAATGATTATTAATTATTTTGCCTAGTCTGGCACAAGACCATGAGAGATAAAAATAACCAGAATAACACTTGTAGATTGTTTAAAATTTGATAAACAAGGTTGGTTAATTTGATAATCTTAGCAGTGGTATGAATGGATACAAAAACTATCTTTAATCATTGCTTATCTAAAATATATATATATATTTTTAATTAATTTCATCTTAAATAAAGGTAAGTAAAAGGAATAACTTTTTTTTTTCCAAGTTATAATGAAAAATTTGCAAAGCAAGTTGTTAGATTTTAGGAAACTAGATGAAAATTTACCAAATTTAACCATTCCTATTTATAAGGCACTTGGAGAGATATTAGCTAAAGTTTTCCAATTTCTTATCAGCCTGTTTGTAGCTCCTATGAAATGAGGTCAAAATAATAGAGCACAATATTGGAGAACAAAGATCAGTGTATAGACTACGCTCCAATAACTTCATCAGTAGGCCTAGCATAGAATTGAACATAATGTGGGAGCCTTTGATCAGGAAAGAATAGACATTACGTTTTAGGCTCCAAAATTATACCTTTTTTTTTTTCCATTTTTTTTTTTTTTTTTTTTTCTTCCCTTGAATGACTGAAGTCATTTATAGCTGATCATGTGTGGAAAGAAAAAAAATCACCAACCTCTCTAGAAGAAAGAATAAAAAGCAACATTGAAGAGTAAGATGATTTAAAGAATCAACTTGCATGCTAATCTTTTCATTAGATCTATCTTAAAATTGAACCTCCATTATATGAAAACCTCTGTGTAGCATTATACCTTGGATCAGCACTTGGTTAGATTTTAGATTCAGCTTCTTGGGTAATTGATATAACTTTATGAAGGAAAGTGGCATGATTGAGAAAGAAAGAAAAAAAAAAAGAAACCACCTTTGTTGAAAAACCATATGATGGAAAGAGTTGGAGTGATTTTTGGTTCATTTGTATACTTGGTTCAACAGAAAGATAGGATGCCTGCTAAGAACTTTTTGGTAACAAGGAAAGCGAAAAATGTCAAATAGGATTCTACCTTGTAGAATGCACCAGGGTGGACTGATCAGTAGGCAAATGGTTTACTCGTTTTATGGAGTTTGAATTCCTTTTTATTGTCAGCTTGACCAGGAAAAGTAATTATTCACAGATTTCAGTCTTTGGTCGTCTTAGACCAAATTATTTTGTCCAAGATTGATCAGATAAGGTATAGACAAGGATATTACCCTCAAGTATACTTTGAGTAGTCATGCCCAATTGAAGGGTCATTTTTCAAACTACCAGCTTGTTTGATGAGCATCATTATATATCAGTGTGTTTGTCCCTTTGCCAGATACTTTGACAAAAGCACCTTGTATCTGGCCACAATGGTTAGAGAAATGAGCGATTGAATGAGAACTTTTATGAACTATTTCCTCATAGCAACCACCTGGGTGAGCAGTTGCTTTTGTCATTTTTGTTCTCCCCTCACACACTCATTACCATCTTTGGTAAAATCTGCTACATGCCACACATGTGTAGAGTTTTAATCTTTATCTTCCCTCTCTACCTTTCTTTGCACCTAAATTTGCATAGTTGGATATAAATTTAAAGTCTGTTCACTGGTTCTTAGGAGGCACATCTATTCTAACTCCCAGCTATGGGTAACTAGCAGGACATATTGAACCCTATAGCCTTGTTGGTGTAGCTGCAATAGGTGTGGTGCTCTTATGACCCTACGGGATTCATGATTATGTATTATATATTTTAAGTTTATTTATGCTCACCTTTGCTTCTGTGTTGCTATTTGTTGATATTTAACATAATCATATCTTGTTCACCCCAAGGACTTGCTTTCAATGTTTTGTCTGCTAAGCAAAGATGACTGGGCAATTGGTCAGTGTTTAAGATGCACTTGGTCCAGTTTGAAAGGGAAGAGTTATTTTCAATGTTTTATGAAATTCTTAGCACCAGTTATTATGTTGCATATAACTTCAAAAACAGTCATTAACATATCTGACATTGTTTCTGGGAGAATTGTTTTTCCTTTGTACTCTGAGATTACACCTGATGATGGTTGAAGAGTGGACCAGACAAAATCTTAATAGCAAGTGTCCAAACAGTATTGTACCAATTATTATTTACAAAGGTTCTTTTAGTTTGTTACAAGGCAGAACCAAATGTTATGTTAGGAATATAGATTAAAATTTATCTAACTTAAACATTCCTATTTATAATCCACTTAGAGAGATACTGGCAAAAATGTTTCCTTTACTTTTTATTGTCTACTATTGCCAGTCCCTATGGAATGTGGTCATAATAATAGAGTACAACAAGGCAATTCATGGGATTAGTGTGTATACTAGGTTATAATAACCTCCTCAGTAGGCCTAGCATAAAATTGAGCATCAGGAAAGAACGGACACTATTTGGGTTTCAAGTTTATAACACCTATTTTTTTTCTAAGGACTATAAAGTCAGGTATAAGTGATCATGTGTGGAAAGTAAAGTAGAATGGTCATCATTCTCACTCTCTCTTTCTCTCACTCCCACACACAATAATAGGAAGCAACACTGGAGAATAAAGTGATTAAAAGAATCTGCCTGCATGTGAAACTCCAAAAATTTGCTCAGTAGGCTTAGCATAAAATTTAGCTATTTGAGAACCTTTGATTACAAAAGAACAAATATTAGATTTAAAGCTAGAAAATCAGAACACAAAATTGTCTTCTATGATAATGGCTTCATGAATATAAGTGTTGGTTAACTGTTACAATTTATCCATGAGTTAAGTCTTTAGATTGGGTGATGGAATTTGTACATTCTGGTTCACAATCACAAATTAACATAAAAGAATTATGTCCTAGCACAGACAACCAAACAAGAAATCTTTAAAGGGTTCAATTCAGAAATTCTGAGAATGTGAACAAATACAACAACAGAAACATGACAAACAGCCATCATAAGGAAATTTGAATAAATCAACCTCTATTGTACAGAAGGCTTTTGTTAAATTTGATTATGGGTGTAACAGTGACAGCATGGTGATCTCTTTACGCGACTGGTTTGCTTGAGTACTCCCTCATCTGCTCTGTCCACTATTAATCATGGTATGCCAGTGAAGAGATATTTAGTCAAGATATCTGGTAATGTAACAAAGTACAGGGAGAAAAGCTGGTTCATGCCTCTTTTGTAAGGGCATTTGTATAAATTTGCTTTACTGATTATTTGTGCTGGTAACTGTTATATCATCTTGCACTTTTTTTCTTTGTTTTTTTTTTTTTTTTTAAGCATTTATATCTTTTATAATTTACATGTATGTATGTTGGGGGGCAGTTCTGAAATGTTTTTATCCTGACCTACAGCCCAAATTCTGATCAAATAAATTTATTTTTGAATGGTTTTGGTCAGAATGAGAACTTCTCAGTACCCTCATTTTTATAATATATATTGTGTCTGCAACAAAATAATTAAAGTTTCTTGTGACATGCTGTGAATAAGAAAAATACTTGAAGGGCTGGTACAAAATTCAATAAATCTTCTATTGTATACTGGAAGAAAATTGCATCAAATTCACAAAGATGTTTTTACATACATTCTGGTACTTGTACATTTTCTGGAACAAAAATAAATGGAAAAAATTTCTTTCCTCCCTCTCTCTTTTTTTTTTTTTTTTCTTTTTCTTTCCTCTCTCTCTTTTTCCCCTCCCCCTCCTTCCCCTTTTCTCCCCCCCCTTTTTTTCTTTACATATATCAGGGAGTGCCCATAAAGTTTTCCCTTGTCACATAATTCTTAGTGCTGGTCTAAAATTCTCATTATATATTGCTTTCATACCATCAAAAAAAATTTGTCTAGACGTATTTATAAAATAACTTTGTTAATAAAAGGAACCATGAATAATATTTGAACTCTAAATCTAATTTTAACCAAATATCTCTTTTAATGCAAGATATTTAAACTATATCAAAGCAGATAAATGTTGTCAGCCAGTTTTACTGACCTCCAGTGTCAATATTTTTGTTTTAATTCTTCATCTGCATGTAGCATGCAAGTTTGTTTTTCACTTTTTGTATTGAGTGACACACAACTGTCTGGATTATATAAATGCCATGTTCAGAAGATGCTAAGTGTTAGAATTCCACAGAAACTTATGGAATTTCACTATTAACTCTTCCATCAGGTGTTAATGCAGATGAAGCATGGCAGAAGGACTGTCAAGGCCTGAAAAATTAGGATTGAGCAGCTTGAGCTCAAATATAGCACCAATAATCCATTTTTTGGTCTAATCTGACTCTTGCAAAGTTAAAACCTGACAGGAAGAGTCAACTACTTATGGGAACATTATGAGGAATTGAATATTTTTTTGTCAGCATCTTTAGCATTGGATTGCATATATAAGTTCCACTTGAGGCCTGAAGTTAATTTGAAACCCAATAGATGTTCAAAGCATGGAGCCCCTTTAAGAATGCGACCTGTTCATTGTTAGTAAAAACAACTTGGGATCTGATCATTGATGATTATACAATGAAAGTTTGGTTTGAGAGCTATTGAAATGAACTGACAGAAAATTAAAAACCACATTATTTTGAGGTGTACTTATTGCTGCATAGTCTTAGCATTAATAATGACTTTTTTATGATCATGAATTTATATTTTGAGAAAAATGTCTTTTTGTTTGAAGTATAG